CTATTTCTATAAATGTCATCAAGAAAGGCATTGGCACGGGTAGGAAAATTGACAATGTTCTCTAGGCCTAGAGTGATTAAAAAGGAAGTGTCAAAGCGATTGAAGTCACCAGTGGTTATACATAAGGACTGGTCAATACAACTGGCGAATTGCGTCACTACCGTATCAGAAAATATTCTTAAGTCGGGGGCGAGTGTATCAGGGGCAATATAAATATTCAAAGTAAATGAAGCGAAATTTACTGAGAAAGTGAGGTTTGCAGCAAACAAAAGTACAGTTAATTTTACTTGTTGAGTAGGAAAAAATCATACGAGTGTTCTTACACCAACTTCGATTTACGAAAGTGATCACTCCGCCACCTCCGTTGCGAAATTTCACAATCCGATCACTCCTGAAAATATCAAAACCGTCTAATCGGACCACATCATCCTCAATATCTGGGTGTAACCAGCTTTCCTGAAGTAAAATGACTCCCATACTTTTGCATTGTTTCTGTTGCACCAGATTCTGGACGTCATCGATTTTTCCCACAAGTGAGCGAATGTTGCCGGAACAAATGGACGCAATGGTTATCCTGTTGATAGAACTTCGCCGGAGAGCAACCTACCAGCCAGCGCGATGCTTTTTATGGTGCCCTTGACGTTTATTTCTCAGCCGTTTGTAACGATTCTTCACGGAATGAGAAAAAGCCGAGATTTCAACATCATTCGCGAAAACAGAGAAAGATTTCATAAAGTGGAAGTTGTAGGTCAGCATTCGACCTTGAAAAAATAGATGTGAGCGTGTACGGTCAATAGTATCCACTGCAAAAAACGTAAATAGTTGTCCAATTTCGAAAAGCACGGCCGAAATTCAAAGGCCCCGCCGGATGCTGACCCTAATGACTGGTTGATGTCTATCTGTTACTGTGACTAACCTTATGCTAATGACTACAAATTCAATGTAGGGAGTGGTTACATCTTTTAGAGGCCGATCAACTGGCTAATTGGTAAGTCTGGTTGCAGTTAGATAAAGATAATGTTGCTTGGCTCTTAGTTCAGTGTATCAATACAACAGGCAGCGTTCTATCCATTTGGGTTTTCATTTCATACAACAGCTCAATTTAGCATTTCTTCTTGATCGTATCTGTTGTCCTGACAACAATGTTTACGCCACTTCAATATTTCCGTTGTTTATTCAATCACATTTATCCTAGTCTAAGGAATCCAATGGTCACTCACACCCGTCGTCCCTCAACTTGACCTCACATATGCTTGGCGATCTGACTGTATCAGAAATTGGTTTATCCCAACCAATGGAATACAAAACGGACGCATTACTCACTCCAGTATCCGCATCCACTGTAGTCACTGATGTGGATTGGTCCACATTGGTTTCGGCTCCCAGTCTGTTCCCGCTTGATGCACCAACCAAATCTGTGTGCACTAATTCCGGCTTTGCCATGGTAGAGCATGTGGGATTTCCACATGCATCGTCTGTGTCTTCTGGTTCTGCCATCGCCACTGCTGCTGCTGCTGCTGCTGCTATCGCCGCACCACACTCGCCTTCGTTTCTACCGTTTCATTCATTAGAATCGGATTTCCATGACCTGATGGATACAGCCGACTCCAATATGGGATTGTCTCCGTTGGTGATAAACTGGACAGGTGATGCTTAAGCGACAACAGTTTGCCAGCTCCCTTGCCCTTTGTGTAAATAGAGCCCCTACATATTTATGCACATACACAATGAAAATATACCGATAGAGTATCTGTACACCCAAAATAAATTCAGAGACTGTTTACTCTGCGCCTTGTTCCTCCAGCTTCCATTCTGTACCTTTGTCATAAAAATCTGGAGTTCTTTGTCTGTTATTCTCTTTTGTTCCGGTAATTTTAGNTTATTCTTTCTTGTTCCTGCTATCCGCACTCTCCATTTTTTCAGTTCATTGAGTTTTCTTACTCATACCATCAACCAATCAATCAATGTTCCTACACACTCATCCAAAATGTCGTCCAACGGATCCGGACATGTGTCACGCAGTGCTTCATCGTAAACGTTATCTTGCTCATCATCTTTGTAGCAGATCCCTTTGGGTCCGGATACTTGTTGTTTCTTTCCCATTCTCTGTCAGGATGATGTTGCTCGTTGGTGTTGTCCGCGCGTGTTGGGGTTATTCCATTTGCATCTTGCCACTAGATTGCCTACCTATTCTATTCACTCGCTCATGCCTATGCCTTCATCATTACTTGCCCTTGCGGCCGCACTGTCCCAAGGATTAATGAGTTGCAAGAGGATTTTTCTTGCTCTGCTGCTTCAGACCAAGCCATTCATGTTTGTATTCGTCTGTTTGTCTGCGCGCGCGCTTGCTCGCGAGTAATGACGGTTCAAGTGCTCTTCCTGGATTCGCCTCTTCACAAATCGCCTCCTTTTTAGGCTCTCGGTATCGTTGTGTTTTCGGTTAGTTCCTTGACTGTTCCGTTCTTAGAATTTTCCACTTTGTGCATCTGACGCCGAGTTTTGATTGTACACCATCCTTGATGCCATATTTTTTTATTTCTCTTACGGTGTATTGTTGCTAGGTTGTACCGTTTTTCCGGTATGCGATCTCTCATTCCTGTCCTGCTCCTCCGCCCCGTTCTCCACCACTCCTGACTTATAAATATATACATATTTATGCATATGTGTACATGATCATTCGTGTGCTATTCTCGTGTATTTATAAATACATAGCTATGTTATCTTCTGCGTCCCCATCCTATTTCCGTTTTTGAAAAAAAGATCGCTCAGTGAAGAACGTTTAGTTTTAATTTTGTCTCGTGAACTAATGGTAGCATCCACTAGTAAATTTTATGCGTTTAGCTTCGTGAAAGTTCTAAATTGAACTGTGTTGGGTTTCATGACCACTACGGAACCCTCGACCCAATTATTAGTCGCCGATTTAATCGCGTGAAACGGTCTGGTCACTTATCCGGCTGTCAGGTGCCCACTATGTTTGCGTTCTCCCTTGGATTTACTCTGTTGAATTTTCAGTTGTCTTAATTGATTCACACTACTGGTAAGAGTCAGAGTCAAAGCAGTTTTGCAAGACTCCGGAGCTTTTTAGTCCTCGTTTCGTTCTGCTCTTTCACGATGAGGTCCTTCACGTTGTTATCTTAACCTTTTCCAACATTAGAAAACCAGACAAGTGAAGAGTTATTTCGTTATTCTTGGAGTGAAGCAACGGCCCTCACTTCATGTGAATTTAGAACGGTCAACGCCTCACAAAATTTTCAGTTGAGTTCAAAGGCTACAATGTGGCGAATCGATAGAACTCAATGACATCACTTCTTCTTTTAAAACAGACCAATATTCGTGAACAGCAAGTCGCACTCCGGGCGGATCTTGGATGCATTGATCCAATCTTTACATTGCGTTAGTTCCTAGGGTTACCTCAAACCCAGTGTCGATCAAAGATCACAGTGTTGCTCTATATGAAAGGAACCTTCGAATCATCTGAACTCGAGACACTAATTGGTTCTCTCCTCCCAGAATTACGGAGGTCAGTCCTATCAGATAATTCTTTTAGAATGATAGTATACAGCGAACTAAGTAGGTTGTTCG